ATCATCATCATCATCATCATGTACCATTATCCTCATCATTATCACCATTATTATCACCATAATAATATAATAATAATGATATAATATAATATAATTATAAAGCGCATATCCAGGTCTGCTCTAGGGGCGCTTCCTTCCTTTTATTTTACTTCCATCATCACCAACAAACATCACCACCATATATATTCTGTACAACAAAGGGGTTATAGTTACTGACAACCCTCGGATATAATTTTATTTTAAAGACAGTAGGACATACCTAATCAATCCATCAAATAACAACAATGTTTTTAGAAGTATTTTCAATATCCCTTTGTAAATGTTATCATTTATTCAGCCTTACCATCTTCAGTAAAGCTAGAGCTGATATCTTTATATACTTGAAGTAATTAGGGCTGGGAAAAAAATAAAGGGAAATATAAAAACTTATAAATGACATTAAACTTTTTTTTGTACAAAATATTGCGATTTTACTTGTTCATCCAAGGTTTGGCTTGTAAAATCTCTTGTTGTTGTTGACGGTCGTATTTGAAGATTTCATCAACGCTGTTCACCGTCTCCATGTTATTGGAAAACTCCCACGTTTTCATAGCCATTGCGCTGTCCATCTTWTTTTTCCTCTTTTTGATCAACGAGAATAAAGAAGAAGAAGAAAAACAAAGATGGCGTCCAGAACTTCAGACCTTGAAATACCACAGGAAGCCCAGCTGGAAATAAATTAATCATTCAAATAAAATAATTTAAATCAAATAAAGAAATAAAATTTATAAATAACTGTAATTCATTTATATTTATTGCTAAATCAAGGTAATAAAATAACAATTACATACTCAAGTAAGAGAAAACTACGGATTGTATTTATTTTGAATGGGTTAGCTGTGGTAAATCCCCATAATGCATTTCAGGCCGTCTCAGAAGGAAAGGACGCCATCTTGCGGTAAACAGAAGAAGAAGAACACAAGACGTGCTGAAAAACCCTTCAAAAACTACTCCTTATTAAACACATATCACTTCAATTCAAGGAMAAAATACTTAACACAATGGGTGATGTGTACGCGCAATCGGTAAGCCTCCTTTGATTTTAGAAAAAAATATTTCTTTGACTAAATAATACCTCAAAATTCGAATTGTCACACTTTTTTTTTTTTTCCAAAGGATTTCATTTTCTGGTTTTATTCTTCTTTACTCTCGTTGCGTGATCGAACGAGGAAGAAAACTCTATGGTCTAATCCCCTGTTAAAGTATTTATAAATGTTTACAAGCCCCTACTTGTGCATGAGATTCAAAATACGAAAAAATACTTAAATACAAATAATTGTCAAAAAGAAACCTTTCTCCTTCAAAAGTATACGTATTTGAAACACAAATTCAATTTACACTTAATTATTAAAACATCAAGCTTTAACACGGATATGTTATCGCCTTGTAGGATGTGCTTTGTAGTGGGAAAATTGTCCTGATCTTATCATAAAACTAAGACCAAAGAACAAATATCAAACGATTGGAATCATACTAACACCTGCTAAAAAATCCCTTACCTATCTACTTATACCACGATACAGAAAATGCTTCTCTAAGTAAAAATGATAATAGTAATTTTTTTTTTTTATATTGAGTTATATTTTTTTGACAATATTTGGATTTTTGGATTTTACCTAATTATTCCAGAGATGTACAAATAGGATAGGCTAAAAATTAGATTTAATAACATATAACCTAAGTAGATTACCTCCTATTGATTGTTATGCTTGTCTATAATACTCTTTTCTTTTTACTCTATACAAATCTAAATTGTCTAATTTCTCTCTAACTTTTACAAAAAAATCTTATTTGTTTGTTATTAAATTTAAAAACAGTTTTCCATTTTAGATAATGTGATATAAACACATGGGATGCTGATAGAACTTGAGTCAGAGAGAGAAGTATAGGAAACCATGACATGAAGTGGAGTGGTTTCTTGCTTCTCAACTGTGTTTTATCAGTGCCCTGACTCAGATCAGCAAGTGGAGTTTGCTAGCTCTATTCCTAGATTTGAGGTTTTCCTCTATTTGGGAACCAAACATAGTAAATTCAATTTCAAGATGGCCATAACTAGTTTGTTTCTTTGATATCTAATGCTATCTGTGTATTGCATTACATTTATGGAATACCTTAAAGTGCTTATAAGCCTTTACACAATATTTTCAGAATTGAGTCTTTAAATAGTGAATAGTTGATTGTGAAAATAATTCGTCATTTGAATGTCGGGTAC